ACATACACCCTGCTTAAAGATCATGTCTTATCAAGTTTTTGTCCGCTCATATAATTCTGTTCATATTAGAAGACTATCAAGGGAGAGAACGGCATGGGTGAGGACCTATGAGACTACCGTATCAGAGCGGTAAATTACACTCTGCACTATCTGAGATTGTCTTACTATAGTAGGTAGTTAGACGATGATGACAGCCGTGAATGAGGTCAACAATGATAAAACGTAAAAGGTACGGGATGAATGTATTTTTCGTAGTGTTACGCTTGTTTGTTTTACTTCCGAACTTGATGTGCAACTTGATTCACAATTGATGTAAGCTTACTCTTGAAATAAGCTTATTATTAAAACTACGGCTGTATGCTTGTATGCAAACAAACAGTCTGTTTTAGTCATTATTCTGTGTTTCACCTCTGAAAATTATTCTAAAACGGAGCCATTACAGAATGCAGGGCCACTTCGGACCACCTGTTTTACATGTGTTAAAATCTTTTGAAGAATGAAGTATAACACAATAGGCACTTTTGTGATCCAATGAGATGTAAATAAATGGCCCTGTATATACGTATTCACAATTATTCGCCGAAGGTGAGGTGAACATTGGTGAATATTTCCCTCGACTTATCTCAGTTCACTTCGCCTTTGGCAAATAATTGTTAAATAGTGCTATATAAGCTATGCTTCCTCACCAGCACCTGCAAGGAAATTTTTGAGCACACACTTATTGTTTTCTTTGTAGGTGCAAGCTCTGAAGAATGCACATGAAAGTAACCCATGTGGAAGATGGTGGATAAAGGCTGATACTCGTGATGTCTGCAAAGGTTTGAGAGAAAGTGTAAAAGGAAAGTGGGCTGGAGATGAAGACCTTGATGATGGTGAGTTGGACAACTGCAGGGCTGAATATCAGAACCAGAAGGAATTTGCTAGGCTTCTTGGTTTGAAGGACAGTTCTGGTGTCTTGCTGGAAGGTCTGAGGATCCTTTCCACAATTCTGGATAATGATTTGGAGTTTCTACTAATACAGGAAGGAGAGGTAGATGCATGCACCAAGTAATGAGAAGCACAGAAGCAAAAAGAGCCTATCTGAGTCACTGCTGATGGGGCTTGTATGGGACTTGGTAGAGTTTCAAGACCTACTAAAAGAAGTAAGTGAACTAAAGAATGCTTGCCTTGAGTTGGAGACAGCACATGATGTAAAGGAAGATCTTCAGGAATTCAGCACATCCCTTCTCCTGTGCACAAAGCAGCTTTTCATGAAGAAGCGGGTAGTGCCGATGCACTTGATGGTTTTCATGATTGCCGACAAAAGCAGGAATAGAAAACCTTATGCTTTGCCAGTACAAGTGATGCCATTTAAAGGAATGAAGGATTCTAAATTGCGGAAACTTTATGAGGAGTTGAGGAAAGTCATGGTTGGCCTGGGAATGACTGTTGTTGGTAATGACACTATCTATAATTTCAAAATAAAAATGAGCGATAGAAATTTTACTGTATTGTGCATTATTTCGTCAGTGGTAATAATTGAAGGGGTGAGTGCAAAACCATGCTAAGTGACGATTTGGGTGAAAAAAAAAATTTTCGCGA